TTCCTTTCGACATGCATCATATACTCAGTTGGAATACAAAAAGCCATTGCTTGCCCACATGCAAGGCCAAAAAGCATGGACATCAGGAAGATAGCAGTCATGCTAAATCAAAGATAAAATTAAAGAATCTATTACATGTATCCTTTAAGACATTCAGAAGGGACATTCAGAAAGAGCTATAATGTGTGTGTATGTGTGTGTGTGTATAAATATATGTATTTATTGAATGCCTACTTTGTCCTAGGCCCTATATTAGGTGTTTTTACATAGTTAATACTCTCAGTAACCTTTCTTTATATATTTAGATGTGGCTATGATCCACATACCCCATAGTGACAGAGCTCACATAGTGAAAGTCCTGCTTGCAGGTGCCTCTTAGCTCCACTGGGCAGTGAAATGGCAAGCCTGAAACACTATAACAGAAAAGTGGCAGGGACACGTATGTCAACTAAGTACAAAATAATTCATTCAATGGAAACAATCAAAATACCTGCCTTTATCATTATAAGAAGTGAGTTAACAGGCTTCAGTAAGGGCTTTCCCAGAAATGTGCTTTTCTAAAAACTTTGATTCAATAGCTTAAAAGGCCAACAAACTGGTCATAATAAGAAAAGGCAAAGAAATCAAGGAAGTGCATAATCAAACTTCAGTACCAGCTCAAAGCAAACAGTCTTGCATATGATTCTACCCAATGCCTGTCAAGAAAGACAAGGCTAAAGGTCAGCTAAAACTACCACTGGTGTTAAGGGGATAACCCAGAAATCTAAAAACCCCTCTTCTCCACCCTTAGGATATCCTTTAAGGTTGAAAGAATTAGAGTTGGAAAAATAAAATTATTTTACTCAGAAGTTGTATGGAATTAATTATCTTAAAAAGATTGTGGAGGCAAAAAATACAGATTGACACAATGAGAGTAATACAATCAAGGATGACAGGTCCACTGTAAGTTAGCCAGGAAAGTAAAATAAGTTTTGGGTGCACGGAAGACAACAGAGGATCCACTGTGCCTCAGGCAGAATACGTATCTCTATAGAGCCTGTCTGATGAAGAGTGTGTTCACTATCAACTGGACTTTGTAATGAGTTGGATAATGTTAAGACTTATAATTACTTAAGTTTTGCTACTGAGAGAGGGTAATCAAGTTTCAGACTTTTGGATGTAAGTTGATCACTTCAAAGATTGTACAGTTAGCTAGGTATATTTGGATTTTTTTCCTTCTCAAGTATCATTGTCAGAAAAGAAAATACATATCTTAATGGAGTAGTATTACCTTTGAACACAAACTTGTTTTATTATTCTATTAAATAAATTATAATTCATTAAATGTTGTTATTCAATCATGAAAAATGTATCAAGATTTTTCTCAATTTTTTTCTCAAATCTATCAATTATATCCCAAGAGCATCTTTAAGCTACGAACACTGAAACTTCCATTAACTGAAATCTCATAGACTCTGCCTCAGTTAACAAGAATTTTTGTCTTTAATCAGCTCACAAGAAAAAAATGAAACCACGTTCAACAAGCTTCCAGGTATTTATTTTAAATGTCAACTTCCAGAGATTAGTGGCCATTGCAACCAGTCTCCTGTTTGGAGAATGAGAACTGCCGATAAATTAGACAAACATATATTGAGCATTTAAAGTAGGCACTGACAGACACAAAATGGATAAGCTATGGTCTTTGACCTCAAGGGCTGACAGTCTAGTGAAGGAGATAACTATGAACACTAATAATAAAAATACATATTGTTTAACTGATAACACCAAGTGTTGGTGATGATTTTGAGCAACTAGAACTTTCATATGTTGCTGGTGGGATGGTAAAATGGTACATACAAATATTTTGAAAATCAGTTTGTTTCTTATAAAATTAAACATACTTAACTGATCACCCAGCAATTCTACTCCTAGATAGTCACTCAAGATAAATAAGAACAAATGTTAACAAAAAGTAGGTAGTGTTTTAAGTGCTATGAATGACTTGAAATTATGACTCTGACACCCACAATAATCAAAGATTTTTTTTCCTATATAGACAAGGAAGTGAACTAACCCATTAAGAAGTGTTTTCTGGTGAATACTTTCAAATAAAATTTGCATATTTAAGCATTCCTTGGAGGTTTTTTGGTATTTCAATCACGGAGCAAAGTTATAAGAATTCCTGGCTCATGGAGTCTGGTTTTCTCAGTGCTTCACAAATGTGAGCTCCCTCTATGGTATAGAGCTGGTTCCATTATTTTAGAGCCATAGACTTAGAGAATCCTCTGCAGGATCTTAAAAATATCGACTGAGGGACTTCCCTGGTAGTCCAGGGGTTAAGACTTCACCTTCCAATGCAGTGGGTGAGGGTTCGATCCCTGGTCGGGGAACTAAGATCCCACATGCCTTGCGGCCAAAAGGTATAAAACAGAAGAAATATTGTAACAAATTCAATAAAGACTTTAAAAATTGCCCACATCAAAAAAAAAATAGACTGAGTAAATGATATAAAATATTCACCTGCCATGATCATATGGTTCTTGCCCATCTAGCTAGCCAGCTACTGAATTTTTGCCATAGGAAATAATTAACTTCACATATTTTAACTTTTAGCTCTATGTTCTATATAAAATAGATATGTGCTGACCTAGTGGTGAGAATATTGGTCCTGGAGTTAAGGAACAGAATTTTATTTCAAGATCTCCCATGGATCTATGAGAAATCGACTAAAATATTGAATCTATCTGGGCCTAATTTCCCCATGTGCAAAACAGAAAAAGACAAGTACACCTGATCCTTTTTAAAACTGTAGAAGAAAAAAAAGTTTTGGAACTTTTACCCATTGTTGTCATATTCATTATGGACACTTTACATTGTTCTCAAGTTCCTCTTATAAATGTAAAACTCCAAATTAACAAAAAGAAAAATTAAAAGTGCTGAATCAGCAGCAGCAGTAGCTATATAACTTAGTAAAGAAAGTAAGAATTATTCTTTCTCCTTTATTGAAAATAGTAAAACTTCACCCAAAGAATCTTTCTGGGCTCAATTTCTTCACCTGTAAAAGAAAAGGCTTAGAACCACAAGATGATCAGGAAGTACTTTTCAGCACACATAGACTGTGACCCTATGTGATAAATTAGTGCCCGGTCCCTGGTCTAAGAGATAGTGACCTAGAATTATGCTTCCAGATTTTATTGCAATTATGTGTAACTGAGAAATTAAGAAATTTGTACCTTCATTTTTCCATATAATCCTTCCTAAAATCATAATAAGTATAAAACAATACATGTGAAGCTTTTGGAATGCTACAGAAAACTATGTAACTATATAATACTGAGTATATAAATCAGTGTTAGTTAATACCTCCCTAGATGATCTGCCACAGTTTCTCCTTTATTGGCACCTGGATTCTCATCCTCTGTAACTTAATTGCCTCTTTTAAAATCATTCATAAATGATTTATTGAGCACCTAAACAGAGGTGTGATTTTAGGCCCTAAATAATGAGAGATGCCCTTTTCAGTGCCATGACCACTATGTCTACACTTTCAACATTTGTACTTATTCCAAGATATCCTCTTTCCTTTGCCCCTTATCCAGCCTTTTCTCTCATCTTTTTGTTCTCACTACCTTCATTCTTAAGCACATTTCTCTCTAATCTGCTAATTGCCTTCACCAACCTTTTCTCCCCAAATCCCTTACTGTGCTATGAAAAGAATCAATTGTCTACCCTGTGAACTCCAGGAAGTTCACTAAAGCAATATAGTTTTCTAGAGAGCAAAATGTACTATAAGTCAGGTGTGTGCTTTGGAAACTATCCAAGGGGATTTAGCTATAACTAAAACAATAAAGAGTAAATTACCTCTGCAGGTACCCAAAACTGAATTTATTCCCAGCTTTTCTCAGAAGTACATTATCATCAAAGATAACCATTAGTAATTGACAGGATTTAATACACAGATTATTTAACTGATTAAAACATTTAAATCAAATGTAAATAGTAAGGGAAGGCCATGAATATCAATCAGCCTTCATTAGGGAATTGACCAATTTTTCCTCTTCTTTGAAGTCAGTAGAATATTTTCTTATCCTTACATATGTAGTTCATTCATCTTCACCTACCACTGAACAATTTTGGAGCAATAACTAGAATTTCTAAAGCCTATCAAAGCAAATTGTCACTCAGCATTTGCCATTTTTAAATAAATGCTAAAATGATGAAAATGAAAATAATTTAGAATAACAACATTTCATTTCACAATGCCTTCTCAGTGTAGACACCTACCTTACTTTGCATTGGGGAGCTGATGCTGTAATGACCCAGACTAAAAGCTCTTGGTTCATTTTATACCCTTCAGGATAATTCCTCTCTGATCTTCTTGTTTATATAATCATGTTTGAATTACCGCTTCCTTATCTAAAAACCATCTATTGAAAATTCATACTGAACCCCAAATAAAATGTGTTTAGACAAACAATTTCACAACATCTTCCTCTGGAAACTCTGACATTATTGCAGCATGAATTTCCTTTTCTCCTATTTCAAAATAAAATTACCCTTGTAAATATATCCTTTATTAATATTTATTAATAAAGGAGAAAAACACAGAAGGATAAAAAACAAATCCAAAACAAAAAACCCTTAAACATCATCTAAGTAAGTCTTGGGAATGAAAATTTGGGGGGGGCTTGAGTGCCCCAAATTTTACCTAAATGTTCATTTAGAGAAATATATATAATTATTGCTCATCTATAAAGCAAAGGTAACTTCTTTATGGTAATCCAGGACAATTGGCATACATCTTGCTGATTAAACCCTCCCCCAAATTAAACCCTCCCCAAAATATCGTATTTGTTTTTTCTTTGGATTTCTTTGGATTTAAAAAATAATAAGTAAAATTTACATGTGGGAAACAATAGTCATTTAAGTAAATGGCCAAATATTTTGAGATGTCAAAATGACTGAGTGTAAATCCTGGCTCTACCATTTACTAGTTATATGACTTTAGCATGCTTGAGCTCTCTTTACTTCAGTTTCTTTACCTCTTTAAAGATAATATCAGTTTCTTTTTTTTTTTAAATTAATTAATTAATTAATTTTTGGCTGTGTTGGGTCTTCGTTT